TAAACGACAGCTGTTAATAGAATTGACAAATAGATAAACAGCAGCCAGGCATAGGAATCTAGTCCTAGCCAAACTAAAACATTGTTTTGTGCCCTAGATAGTCTAAAGAGAGTAATTCATTTCTACTGCTGTAAAATTTGCTTGTGATGTGACCCAACTCTTAAAATTGGCTAGTCTTCTAGGTGACAACTTCATTTGCTATATTTCTTCGGCATACTGTTCTTTTTGATCAAGTGTATCTTCTAAGTTTTCAGGTTAAACATAACATACTAGGCTGTTTTTAAATGAGTTTTTCAAGTTTTGCCATAGATGATGATGCAACCAACTTAAGGCTCTCAGTATATTTGTTGAATGTATGGGTTATTAATGGTTATTCAGGAGAAATACTGATCTAGTGTTTAAACATTTCTTTTTATTTTTTAGGAAATACGTGGTATTTTCTACCATGTTAATTTTGGAGCCATTATTCATTAGCATATGTTACACTTTAATAGCTTAGCAAAATGACATAGGAGAAGATTCCCTTTTTACCAGCTCTTCCCTATGGAGATATTTAAAGCTGCCAGTTTTGAGAAAAATGTTTAGTGCAGGGTATATCTGCTTTTTTGGTTTTGGGTTTTTTTTTTCCTCATTGATAGAGAATTATTTTGATGACCTATCACATACTTTGGCACCACTGTTATCTGTATCTTCAGGAAAAAAATATGGTAATCAGATTTAGCATTTGTGCTTTTATGTTTTCTTCCAATAAATACTCCATAAAAATTACAAGAAACACCAATGATTAAAAACTGTGATGCTAATAGTAGCAGAAAAGTACTAAGAATGCAGAGTTGAAACTTGTTGTTTTCTCAGACAGAGCTACAAGAGGAGGAATTTTTTTTTTTTTTTTTTGGAGAGATGGAGTCTCACTTTGTCACTCAGCCTGCAGTGCTTAATCATAGCTCAGTGTAGTCTCCAAATCCTGGACTTAAGCAATTCTCCCACCTCAGCTTCCCCAGCAGCTGGGACTACAGGCATGTGCCACTGTGTCCCACTAACTAATAAAAAAAGGTTTTTTATAATCCAAGCAAATATAACCCAGGAGTTCAAGACTAACCTGGCAACACAGGTTAGTCTTGAACTCCTGGCCTCAAGTGATCCTTCTGTCTTAGCTTCCCAAGTAGCTGGGATTACAGGCATGAGTCACTCACTGCACCTGGCTAGAGGAGGAAAGTATTTAAATAGATTAAGCAGACTTTTTCAATTAGGCTGTCGTTAAGTTCAAAAGAGGTAGGTAAAGATTTGCCGAGTGTTCTCTTCTCCCACACCTCCCTATTATAATGCTAGTGTTGAGATTCAAGAACTTGTTTTAATTAGTGTAAGTACTACATATCACTATGTGTTGGGTGGGTTGGTTGTATCATTTCACTTTTCATATCTGAATACAACATATAGAAAGTGCTTTTATTATGGTTATTAGATTGTCAGAATATGAGAAGCTTGGATTAGTAGGCTTCTTGATTCTAAATGATTCCCAACAAAACCAAAAACCTTCAGACTTTTTATTGAGTGTTATTAGGACTTATTCTCATATTTCTCAGCAATGAAATATGAAATTATATTACTTTAGTGTAATGGTTGCTTAGTTGCTTGCCATATAGTTGAAGATAAACTTCACATGTTGGAGTTAGAAAACCACAGCAGGTGGTGTCTACTTCTTGGTTTTATGTGTTAAATGAGACACTAAATGTCTCACATTTAATGTCTCATTTAGTGTTAATGAGAATTGTGGGCATTTGGGGACATAAGATGCCCACTCCCTCTGAAAGTATTAGAATAACAAGGGAGAAATGCTTGAAGATTAATACTGATTACTTTTCTAAACCATATTCAGTATTCTTTTTTTTTTTTTTTTTTTTTTGAGTTGGAGTCTTGCTCCGTCACCAAGCTGGAGTGCAGTGGTGTGATCTTGGTTTACTGCAACCTCCGCTTCCTGGTTCAAGTGATTCTCCTACCTTAGCCTCCCAGGTAGCTGGGACTACAGGTGCATGCCACGACACCTGACGAATTTTTATATTTTTAGTAGAGATGGGGTTTCACCATGTTGGCCAGGCTGGTCTTGAACTCCTGACCTCAGATGATCCTCTTGCCTTGGCCTCCCAAAGTGCTCGGATTACAGGCATGAGCCACTGCACATGGCCTCACATTCAGTATTCTTAAATAATTTAATAGATTTTTAAAAATACTTTTTAGAATTTCCTGTGAAAATTTATTAATGTGTTTTAGCTTTTACTATTGCAAATTTTTTTCTTTTTTTTTTTTTTTTTNGCTGTGTTGCCCAACGATCTTAGCTCACTGCAACTTCTGCCTCTCAGGCTCAAGTGATTCTCGTCCCTCAGCCTCCTGAGTAGCTGGGACTACGGGCATGCACCACCACTTCCAGCTAATTTTTATATTTTTAGTAGAGACTAGGGTTTACCATGTTGGCCAGGCTGGTCTCAAACTCCTGACCTCCATTGATCCACTTGTCTCAGCCTCCTAATGTGCTGGGATTACAGGTGTGAGCCACCACGTGTGGTCAAGGTTTATTTACTGTTTTAGGAAGAAGGCAAAGTCATTCTCTAGTTTTAAATGAATAATTTACTTGAAATTTATAGCAACTGTACAACTTATAAATGGTAACTGTGTCTTCAAATGGTTTATTTGAAGTTTATAGCAACTCTACAACTTTGATACTTATAAATGCTAACTGTCTTGGGTCTTTGATGCTTTAAAACTTACAAGTAGTTAGGAAAAAGATTTTGGTAATGGGTTTGTATGCAGAACAAGTGTTATAACCATCGGAAGGTAGGGATTTTTGAAATAAAAGGTGATAAAAATAAAATATACTAAATTGATTATAAAGCGATGAAGAATTGGGAGATATTCCTAACATAATTCTGCTGGAATTAAGAACATGTATATTCTAGCAGTCATAAGTCTCATAATTTGAGGTAAAAGTCTTAATGTAGCTACTTAAGTTTGAAATTGTAGGACCTCATTAAATTGAAAGCAGATCAACTGAGAAAAATTATTTTCTTTTTTTTTGTCATCAACTCACAAATATGCTTGTGATCTAGAACTTTTAATTAAGGGAAGTCACTTTGTACCACTTCTCTCTTCTCCTGGCCTAAAATTTTCTTTAATAAAGTGAAACCCATAAATGTTTTGGTTTTAAATGGAAGTAGATAAGGGTATATCTGATATAATCGAATGTGAAGTTTTCCTATTTAATAATGACTTAAAAAGTTATTCTTATTCTGAAATATTGTCATTTTCTAAAGCTTATTCCACTTTTTTTTTTCCCTAAGCTTACCTTTTTTTTTTTTTTTTTTTTTTTTTTTTTTTTTTTTTTTTTTTTTTTTTTTTTTTTTTTTTTTTTTTTTTTTTTTAAGACTGAGTCTCGCTTTGTCCCAGGCTGGAGTACAGTGGCACAATCTTGGCTCACTGTAACCTCTGCCTCCCAGGTTCAAGTGATTCTCCCACCTCAGCCTCCCAAGTAGCTGGGATTACAGGGCTGCACTATCACTCCTGGCTAATTTCTGTATTTGTAGTGGAAATGAGGTTTCACCATGGTGGCAAGACTGGTCTCGAACTCCTGACCTCAGGTGATCTGCCTGTCTCAGCCTCCCAAAGTACTGGGATTACAGGCATGAGCCATCATAAAGCTTATTTAAAAAAAAAAAAAGTTGCTTTGAAAGATTTGACTATCATTTAGGAAAAAACAAAATCAACATTAGCCTTTGTAGTGGCACAGAATTTCTAGTGCAGTTAAAGTCCCCTGTCATTATGCTTTTTAGTTAATGCTTATTCTACCCATTTGTTGTATAAGTTGTCCATATAAAGCATGTGTGACTCTTAATACATGTCTCTGCTTTTATTCAAAAGCCCATATTGTGTCTCTTATTTTTTCTATGGGCATAGTCTATGCATTTTTGGTGTCAAATTGAGAAAGGTTTGTCTTTTATTTTTACTTAAAAATTGAACATGGATTGCTCATATTTTATAAAGTGTTTATGAAGGGTATATAGGCTCTAGAAGGATGGTCAATTACATTTGGACGAAGCAATTTAAAATCTTGTAATGAAAGTTAAAATGCTGAAGTGGTATCATTATTTGTAGCAGGATTTATTGGATACTTTGTGACCAATATGAAATGGATAGAGTCCCAAAAATTTTTTTCTGACCTACACCCAGATTTATCTCAAAATGACTGTGTTATGTTTTTTTGGTAAATTAACTTAGAGTGATTAATAGATTTGCTGGCAAAATTGAAACTTTATACTTAGTGAAGATAGTTATAATTTTATATGACAGAAGTGCCATTTACAATTTAAGTCTTTAAATTTTTAAATTTCTCCCCCAAGTAAAGGATCCTATACTGAATAATAATCATGGGAATCATTTGGTTGAAATTAGACCTAAGGTGGCTGATAGTGCACTGCTTGTTAGGCTCTGTGCCAACAGCTTCCTTTTTATTCATCTCTTAGTTTTATACTGGAGTCTTGGATTAGAATGCTTATGGACATGAAAAGTTCTGACTTTAATTATTAACTGGCTAATTTTTTTGGTAAGTGAATGACTGGGGGAATTAGGACAAAGTAACAAGTGAGTCAGCTTAAAATTTGGCATAATAAATATAGAGTGTGTTTAATATTTTCCAGGTTATACAAACAAGTGTCCTTTTCATTAATACAGAAACCAATTCAGTATGTTCATGATGTCATTACCTTTTTATAAGGTGGAAAAATACATGTCAGGTAATTTAATAGAATATATGGTATTTAGACCTTTTATTCCTTGTAGAGTAACTTTGAAACCTGATAATGTCTAGAGATATATCTAAGTGATTGTAGCTTACTATTCTGGGGTGAGCTAGTGTTGATGAATCTAGGGTTTAAACTGCAACCTTACTTGCTGGGCTTTAAATAGATATAGTGCCACTGTTTTACTTATTGTTTCCTTCATTTATCTTTTAGAAGAAGAAGATGGAGTGTGGGAGAATGGACTTTCCTATGAATGCCGTACTCTGCTTTTCAAAGCAGTTCACAATCTATTGGAACGGTGTTTAATGAACAGGAATTTTGTACGTATTGGCAAGTGGTTTGTAAAGCCTTATGAAAAAGATGAAAAACCTATAAATAAAAGGTAAGCAATCTTAAATGCTGACATATATTTCTTTAGATTTGTTTTTGTGTCTTTACAGAGAAGGTGGGATAAAACAAGCCAAAATCATACAGACATATTCAGGAGGTTATCTTTGACAAAGTTCTAGATATATTCAGGTTTTTTTTTTTTTTTTTAACCACTTTACCTTTCCCTCTACACACTTTAAGAATTTTCTTACAGTAGGAATAGGCTGTATTTTAATACAGTGGCCTAAATTTTGATTTGGGATGATAGACAAAACTTGGGATGAAAGCAGAGACTTAGGCCTGGAAATATCTCTCTCTTTTTTTTTTTTTTAAGTACTAGTGGAAATAAATGCACAGCACTCTGATGTTAAAGTTAAGTAATATTAACACCTGTTAAAGATAGTGCTCTGTGATTAGGTTTTGGATTAAGTTAACCCTTCTTGTTCCCAATCTCTCAAATCCCTTTAATTGAAATAATTTACATTTGTGTTTTCCATATAAGACCATTTACTCTTGGAGAGTTTATAATTTTCTTGAGCAATTAATTAAGCAAATTTATGACACTAATTATTAGAGTAGTTGCAGATAGAGGCACAGAAAACTTTTGATAGATACCTCATTTTCCCAGGCAATTAAAAGCTTCAGGTTACTATACCTCTCTGTGATTTAGGTAGTCTGTCCAAAGATTAAGTTCCCAGCAGTCATTGAGCTAGTGAGGCTTCGAGAGATATGAACCATTGGGAAGTAGGATGGGATGTGAGGAAGGGACAATTAAAAGGAACTTACTGATTTTCCTGAAAAATGTGAGAGGATATGAAGTGAACATTTGGTTGAGATTGTAATCATTTTGAGGTACCATCTTTCATGTTATATATGTGCATCTTTTTTCATGTGCATCTGGAGTTTTTAGTTTTAGTAGACTAGATGAGTAGGTAAGCCTGGATAAATAAAGGTGCTTTCATTTTTTTCTCTTTGAAAATTTAGATAAACCTTTGTTTTAACAAGGTATTTGTACAAGCTCGGAATGCATTCAGCTGCAGATGACAGAAAAACATTAACTACTTGGCTTATGTAGGGATAGATTTTTCTCAATAGCAAGGAGTATGGAGGAAGATAGTTTACTGCTGGTATGTCTGTTCAATAATGTCATCAAGAATTCAGAGTTTCCCAGAGTTTTCTGCTGTGCCATCTTTACATCCTCATGGTCCTCCTGGGTGTTGCACCTCAAGATCTCACAGTGGATTCCAGGCAGGAAGAGAAAGGAAGGGAGGAAATAAGAAGGTGTGGTACCAGAGTCATAAAGTAAATTATTTTCTGAAAACTTTAGCTGACATATTTTTGGCCATAGTAAGAGAAACAAGTGTCTTTTATTTGGAAACAACTGCTCTGAACAAAATGAAGTTTATGTTAGTAAGAAGAAAGGTGGAATAGATATTAGATAGATATCAAAGACAGAAGTGGAAATGGATATTGGGTAGGCAGTTAGCAATATCTGCCATATACATTGATTCATTCATTCATTCATTCATTCATTCATTCATTTGTGACAGAGTCGCACTCTGTTGCCCAGGTCGGAGTACAGTGGTGCAGTTGCAGCTTACTGCAACTTCCACCTCCCAGGTTCAAGCAATTCTCCTGACTCAGCCTCCCAAGCAGCTAGGATTACAGGCGGGTGCCACCACACCTGCCTAATTTTGTGTAATTTTAGTAGAGGCAGGGTTTCACTATGTTGCCCAGGCTGGTCTTGAACTTCTGAGCTCAGGCAGTCTGCCTGCCTCGGCCTCCTAGAGTGCTGGGATTACAGGCGTGAGACACCTCTCCTGGCCAGCCATATACATTGATAATGGTTTTAAGAAGTCAAACAGATTACCAAGATTTAAAATGAAAAGCTGCGATCCTGAGTCCCAGTTAATAGATTTGCTCCTCAGAAGCAATCCCTTTTAATTACTGTTTCTTCTAAGTTACCTGTTTAAAACTTTTGAAGGAAATAACATGCTTATTTTTGAATTATCAGTTAGGATTAATCTAGTGGACTTTT